GATGCTCACTTTTTTGAAAAATCCTTCCCAGTACGAATTGCGCGATGACTGGAAGTCCAAAATTCTGGATGCATGTATTAGCAAATATACAGATTTGTATTAATTATGACTCTGTTTTCACTGTTGCCATAGAGCTGCAAGGTTAGCAAATCGTGTGTGCGGTAGATCCATGTGTGTGTGTGTGTGTGTGCGCCTCCCCTCGTGTCTCCCCCTTGTCCCTCTCTCCTCTCTCCTCTCGTGTCTCCCCCGTCTGTGCGTGCAGCGTTTAATCTCAGCCAGAGAACTCCTGTTTATCCCAGCTGTAAATAAGGCCCTCCAGAGTCTTTGATAGAGGCTCCGGAGCCCGAGTGGCCCCTAATGGCCTCCCCCAGACCCACACAGCGCCCGTGTTTTACGGCTGTTTACATCCACCACCCAGGGCAGACCGGCCGCTTTCACCTGAGCCTAACCTCTTCACTCTGGGCCGTAAATCCAGAGGAGAGCCGGGGAGGACGGGGAGATGAAAGCGGAGACGGGCCCGAGGACGGAGCGGGATTTAGGAGCGGGAGCGAGCGGCGGTGACGGGGGGAGAGCAGAGGAGCCGGGAGAGCGGACAGATCATGTGAACGGAGAGAGGAGAGGAGCGACTGTCCGTGTAAACGATCTCACCGCGTCAGGAGGAGGAGAGGATTTACTGTGCTCCCCTGGACTGAGACTGTTCTCTGCTGCACACACACACACACACACACACACGAACACACACACACATTTACACAAACACACACTAACTCACACAAGAACACACACGCACTTAAGGACCGCATTTCAAACCCAAGCAGCCGTAATCCCCTTCACTCAAACACTAAACGTTGTCAGTGACTTCACAGTCTCGCGGCGGCAGAGGCTGTTCGTTCTCACATGTTCACCTGCACAGTTTGCATGTTCTCCCTGCGTCTGGGCGGGTTTGGCAGGGACCTGGATTTGTTTGTTCTTCATGTTCTTATCTTGATTTACAGACAAAACAGCGAAATAAAGGATCATGTAGAGCAGGGTCTAAAACAGATCTAAACCAGGACTAAACCAGGACTAAACCAGGACTAAACCAGGATTAAAACAGGTCTTAAACAGGTCTAAAACAGATCTAAACCAGGACTAAACCAGGTCTAAAACAGGTCTAAAACCAGGATTAAAACAGGTCTTAAACAGGTCTACAACAGATCTAAACCAGGTCTAAAACAGATCTAAACCAGGTCTAAAACCAGGACTAAACCAGTACTAAAACAGGTCTAAAACAGATCTAAACCAGGACTAAACCAGGACTAAACCAGTACTAAAACAGGTCTAAAACAGGTCTAAAACAGATCTAAACCAGGTCTAAAACAGGACTAAACCAGTACTAAAACAGGTCTAAAACAGATCTAAACCAGGACTAAACCAGTACTAAAACAGGTCTAAAACAGGTCTAAAACAGATCTAAACCAGGTCTAAAACCAGGACTAAACCAGTACTAAAACAGGTCTAAAACAGATCTAAAACCAGGACTAAACCAGGTACTAAAACAGGTCTAAAACAGGTCTAAAACCAGGATTAAAACAGGTCTTAAACAGGTCTACAGCAGGTCTACAACAGGTCTAAACCAGGACTAAAACAGGACTAAACCAGGACTGAAACAGGACTGAAACAGGTCTAAAAACAGGTCTAAAACAGGACTAAACCAGGACTAAAACAGGTCTACAACAGGTCTAAATCCAGGACTAAAACAGGTCTAAAACCAGGACTAAAACAGGACTAAAACAGGACTAAAACAGGACTAACTAAACCAGGACTAAAACAGGTCTAAAACTGGACTAAATCAGGACTAAAACAGGTCTAAACCGGGACTAAACCAGGTCTAAATTAGGACTAAAACTGGTCTAAACCGGGACTAAACCAGGACTAAACTAGGACTAAACCAGGTCTAAAACATGTCTAAAACAGGTCTAAACCAAGACTAAACCAGGACTAAAACGGGACTAAATCGGGACTAAAACAGATCTAAAACAGTTTTTCTTATTTGAAGTGTAGTAAGATGTATTTTTATATTTTAAAAATGTTCCACTGGCAGATCATTTTAGTTGTCAAGTGAAATTTACTTTCTTAATTCAAGTCACCTTAACTTGGCTAGTTTGTTTTTTGCAGTCGTTAGAGTTTTTAGATTTGATTTAGATCAGATTTCAGCTTTAGAGGACTGAATAAATAACGTGTATACCTCATTATAAACATGAACTAAGTATTAAAGTGTTTAATTCTGCTGTATATTTACTGCAGCTCATGTTTTGCAGCAGTTTTTTACCTTTAGAACAGCTTTGATGCTGCTGCTCTGGGGTCATTGTGTCAGTGTTTTAATGCAGTTTCAGTATTACAGTTTATAGTTTGTATTATCAGTATTAACAGATCATCGTAAACAGGTATTGTTGTTATAATACTGTTTTTGTGTGTGTGTGTGTGTGTGTGTGCAGATGCAGATGGCGGAGCGGGCGTGTGAAGTGGCAGACCTCAAACGCAGCCTGGCCCTGGCGCTCAGAGACAAAGAGCAGCTCCTCGAGGTACCACGCTTATTCCTCTCTTTCTTAAAGGCTCCATATTACACTATTTTCTATCATTTCTTATATTTTCAGTATTGATCTATAATATAGTTTCCCAATTTATCCATCGAATAACGCTCCAATCACTCCACCTCCTCGTGTTGTCAAAAAAGAGTTCTTTTTACTGATGGCTTGCTCAATCTTTACTGTGGCCTGTACAATTTCGAGACCCACAGGATGCCCCTGATGCCAACATCACCAACGCCACCGTCGAACTAAAATAATGAACATAAATTACAATCAGAAAAGGTATAATATAAAGACATAAAATAAAAACATGAACAATTACAAAAAACATACCTTGCTGGCTGACCCATATTTTGGAGGTAGAATGACCTTTAACATAACTCTATTCACTTTATTTTAACTTTAACTGACTTGAAACACTACTGCTTCTTGACCAGGCGTGCGTCTCTATCAAGGGGTCCAGCGGAACCGAACAAAACAATAACAGTTCCTACCTGCTGAGTACCAAAATAAAAGCAGGAAATCTTCTCTTATGTGCATATTACATATTATTCAAGAATCAAATAAAAAGCAAATCAAAACTATGGCAGTAAAAGCTCCCACTGAAGAATCACCATTATTCATTCAATTAGATGAATCTGGGCAGAGCTCATTTCTTCTATCAAATAAGACGCACACTGTATAAGAGACAGAAATGACTGGAAACACTGAAATCTTTATATTAAATAGCGTTAAGTATATAATATTTATTTAATCAGGCTACAGTGTGAATTTCCTGTTATAATGTAGTAATATTTTATTTATACAGCTCCTTTCTTAACAAAGTTTCGTTTTCTACACATGGAAACAAAATAAAATACGATGTAATTAAAATAATAATAAAATCAAATAGTAAATCCAAACTATTCAATCATCTAACGTAGGTTTTCTGCCGCAAATCTAACACACACGTCGGTGCTTAAAGGTTGTATAGAGGATTTTTTTAAGGGAAGAGAAATACAGCGACAGTCCTTGTGCGCGTTCAGAATTACTGTTGAAGTTTCCTGTCTAGAAGTAATTCAGCGACCGACGCGTCAGTTTTTAGACCCTTCGTCTGCTTCGGTCGCGCCATCGCTGGACGAGATCTCCAAGAATCAACTCAGTTTGGCTTTGCTCCTTTTCCTCTTCTCTTCTTCTTTCAGCGACCTCAAAAACGGACTTTCTTTTGCGGCGAACCGGTCGTGGATTCTCGTCCGACATCGCGACAAACTTTGTGCGAAATGCGAGAAAGCGACAGTTCGAAAAAGCCTCTAAGAACCGCTGTGTAAACCACGTAATCCCCGCGCTCCGACGAGTCAGTTACACTAGGGAGTTTGATTGACAACCTAACAGCCAATAGAAAATGAGGGAGCCTCGTTTTCTATTGGCTGACGTTTATCTGGCCTCAACACGTCCACAGTTGATAGATTTTCGTTCTTTTTTTTTGGTCATCATAATTACAAAGCTGCTGCGTCTCTGTAATGGTGTTTTAATCTTTCAGTGACAGTTTGAAACTAAAAAAAATCCTCCATACAACCTTTAACTGGTCAAAACAGACAATAAAACCAACACTCTTTTAAAATGTGACTTGTTACTCCACTTCTGCCTCGGGAGCTCAAATTGACAAACTAAGGCTGCGTTCAGACTCCAGCCTGAAGTGACCCAAATCCGATTTTTTGTCTCTATGTTCCTGTATCTGATCTTTAAATGACAGTCTGAACCACACAGATCTGATTTTTTAAAATGTGACCGTCTTTTGAAGATGTGCTGATTTTTTTTTTTGAGCGCAATATTGTGTATTACAGGCGGGTAGTAATTACACATGGGTGGGTCAGGACTAAACCAGGTCTAAACCAGGACTAATCTTGGACTTAAGAGAGAAAACTCCGAGCAGTTTGTCCACAAAGCTCGATCGGGCAACTGCCGCGTTTATCTCTGTGAGGTGCGGAGCTGAGCCGGTCCTTTCTCCTGCGTCACCTCCAAGCCCGTCCTGACCGTGAGTCCTGTTTCAGTTCTGGTTTAGTCCTGGTTTAGTCCTGGTTTAGTCTTGGTTCAGTCCGTGGCGTAGGCAGCACAAAAGTTTGATATAATCTCGGGTTAACGGGCAGGTGCGGTCCTGTCCTCGCGGGTGCAGTGTTTTACTGGGGGTCTCCAAAAATGGACCCGTGCAGGACTCTGCGCTGTTAGGCTCCATTACGGAATAAATGAATCTTCAGTTCGTTATATAAAGAAGGAGGAAAATAACAAAAGGACGACAACAGAAATAAGTTTTAAGAAGGAAGTAAAAAGAGTTGCACCTGTCGATCCTGTCTGAGAAAAATGTATAAAGTTTGTGGTGAGGAGTTTTACAGACTTAACACAGATATAAATATAAAGTTGATACTTTGTGGATTTCACCTATCGCCTGTTATT